GGAGGCAGAAGCGCGCCCGCCCCGTCGGACAGGGACCACCCCCTCCCCTGGCCAGACCCTAGCTTAGAGAGGCGCTTACATCGCCCTCCCGACCGCCTGCCACACGCGGACTTGTCGCCTCTTGACCCCACCCTCATACACACGCTTGTTCTTGGCTCAAGGCGGGAAGCTACTGGTCTACCGGGAGTCCCTGGACGCCCCCGCAACCTCCGTCCATGGGCGCCAGTCCTTCCCCCGCGCCAGTCCTCTGCGGGCCCCCCTTCTGCCATTGCTTACCTGCTCCGGGCGCCCTACTAGCCGTCAGTGGCGGCCGCGCCTGCCGCCCGCGCCGGCCCCAGCCCCTGCCCCTGCCACTGCGACCGCCATCCGGGCCGCTTGGGCCCGCAAACGGGGGCGGGCCGGGGCCGGTGGGCGGGGCCAGGGGCGGGGCCAGGGGCGGTGGCTCGGATTTCCCGGGACTGGGAGACGCCCCCGCCCAGTCCCTCCCAGCCAGAGGGGGACCTGAACAACGCAGGTGGCAAGGGTGCAAGGACAGCAGCACCCCCCTAGACGGCGATATCCCCTGGCCCCAGAGGCCCGGGCGGCGCACCTTTGTAATGCCCCCCTCCAAGGGCCTCTTGCTGAGATAAGAGCCACAGTGCCCCCCATGCCAGTCCCTCGACCTTCAGCGTTTCCCACTCCACAGAGAACCGGTCTTACTGCCAGACCCCTCCCCCCTATCCTGCTCGGTCCCCTTCCGGAACGCAAGGCCTCAAGAAGTCTTCTCGCCAAGGGAGCCCCTTGAGGGATTCCCCCCCCCCCCGGGACAGCGTCCCTCCAGGTTAGCTATATCCCACTCCCACTTAAAGAACCCCGACGGTGAATCTTCCATAAATCCGAGACTTCTCCAGACCCCCCAAAGGTCCGCCTCCGTGGAATTAAGAGCCGCAACACTCCCCCGACGCGGTAATCATGGCCCACAATTTCTCCCCTCACCTCACTGGGTATTGCGGGGCCCCCAGTCCCTTCCCAGATCCTCATTCCAGAAAGCTAAAGAAATTCCCCTCTGGGACCTAGTTTCCCCCTAAGATAGCAAATGAGACCCTAAGACCGACGACGGACGATACCCGGCTGTCCACAGCGCCTCTCATCAAGTGGCAGTTCTCTCTAGTCTGGCCTCCGAGCCAGATTCTGCGGGGGGATACCTTCCCACCCCTGGCTCCCGGCGGCGCTCTCCTGGGCACCAAGGCCCACCGCGGCCCAGAGAGCCCAAACCCATCCGGCACCCTCCCCGACGGCTCCGCGTTCCCAATGCGCCCCCTAGCGGCTTCAAAGGGCTCAGGGGGCGGGGCTGGATGGGTGGGCGGGACTGATCCGCTATGGCCCCGCCCCACCCCGGCCTAGTTACGGTGAAACGCCCTCCCTAGAGTCCCGCCCCCTGCCCCAGAGTCCCGCCCCCTGCCCCAGCTCTCTGCTCCTGCCCTCTGGGTCCCCGCCGCCGCCTGCAACCGGGTGCTCTGGTTCTCACTCCCGCGGCCTGATTTCTTGGGGCCTCCTCACTCTGACTCAGGCCGCCTGCATTCCCCTGATCCCAGCTGCCTGGGGTTTGTATGGCTACTAGGTCCCCCACCACACAGGCACCCCAGCCACGGGGGTGTGGGGCGCACTGGACGCGCGAGCGGGGTGCAGCCTGGATTCTGAATTTGTCGGGGAAGGAAAAAGGGTGAGTGTGCGTCAGAGCCGGAGCCCCGCAGCTGCCCGATTCCAGTCCAGGATGCAAAGACCAGGGGTCTGTGCTTGCCTCTCCGTGCCTTGGTTTCCCCGTCTATAACACGGGGTGTTAGCAGTAGATCCTGTAAGGGTCTCAGTAAGGATCGAATTATTAAGTATGAGTAACCATGCCACTTGCTGAGTAATGGCCACGCGTCTGCCACTACTGGTGTCGTTAAGGACTCACTCTCAGCGACACACACACACACCCTGGCCGGGAGGGAAGGGTGAGGCACTGACTCCCAAACCTTATTCCAGGCAGGGTCACACCCAGTGCCATGCTCGTTTTCACGCATACCCGCACACCCTTCTAAAACAGCGCCATCCCTACACAGACAGACACACGTGCTATTCACGCGCCTAGCAGCCCACTGGCCCTCAGAGCAACCCCAAGGGGACTCCACGGCTCGGAGTAGGATTGCTCCTGCACACACGTGCCCACTTGGCAGATTGTTACACATACACCCACGCCTTCACACAAAACCCTCTGACAGTCACACGCAAGGCCGAGCATCGTGTGCCCACTGCACAGCCATGAACGCACAGGAGTCGAGGAGACCCTGTGTCATGCATACTCAGGCGCACACGCACACACCGTGCAGGTCCGGGAAGCACAGCCCCTCTGCACACCCGTATCCAGACCAGGAGCCCACCCCCACCCCGCCAGCCATCATTAAGCTGTTACCAGCGGCCCCTTGGCCGCCTCTGCTAACCGCACAACGCCTGGACACCGCCCCCTCCCCGCCTGGGCTGGGGGCCATGGGGGCAGGGGCGTACAGACACATGGGGTGCAGGACATACATGTGCCCACCATGTGGACGCTCGTAAAATGGTTGCCCTGGTAACAGCGACTTGAAAGACCCGGTTCTTCCTCTCGGGTGGGCAGGGGGGCAGGGGCGGGGTCGAGGGGCGGGGCTGAGGGCGGGGCCCCGGGGGCGTAGGACTCAAGCGCACCTTCCCCCACCGTGGAGAGACTCGGTCACGCTCCCCACTTGGAAGGAGACGCCTGCACACTCAGGGACACACACATTGACCCAAACACGCACGGAGGAGGCAGCCCCTGTCACACTCAGGCCCCTAGAGCCCCGACCCTCCTCAAGGCCGGCCCCACGTGATCACATCAGACACAGGTGTGACACCCTCTGACATCAATGCATGTCACCTCATACAACCCAGCACGCTGGCCACTCTGTCGCCAACCACAGGCTTTGTCACCCCCTGGACAGGTGGTGACAGACAGACACCCTGTCACACTGGCTGACTCACACAGCAGCGGGAACTGGTACACACACGACACGCCCCCCCACCTCCGTCAAGGGAGCTGTCTGCGCCTGGCTGCCTGTGAGGCCGAGGGGATTCAGGGGTTGGTTCTATTTGTAGGAAACACGGATATTTACAATGCTTTATTTTTAAACCTTGCTTGTTCCAGACTGGGCTACTGTGGGGCGGGGTGGGTGGAACCCAGCCTTGAACCTCCCACGCTAAAAGTCAGCCCGTGGCTAGGGACTGTGTTCTCTCAGCGCACGGATGGAGGGGGGGGGGGGNGGGGGGGGGGGGCGGGGTGGTGAAGCTCAGTGAAGAGCAGGGGGCACTCAAAGGCATGTGACTTCTGTGACTGGTTTGAGCTGGCTGGCCCCAAGGTCAAGGCTGAGGCAGGGGTAGGACATAGCAGGGGCAGCCAGGCCCAACCACCTGCCCATCGCCACCCCCTCTCCCATGTTTACTGGGAAATTAGTTCTGCTCCTTCACTGACTCCTCCACAGCACATCTCGCCAGGTAGCTCCAGGCGAGGCCTCCCATTCCCCAGCGTGCTATAAGCCCATGGTGCAGTTGTGAAACCTGAGGATCAGAGAGGTCAAGATATTAGCCCCAGGTCACACAGTAAGACAGCAGCTCAACTCTGGGGCTGGATGACTATGAAACATGTAACCACTGTCCCCCACTGCTCCTCCAACCTGTCCCCTCTGGTCAGAGGGCCCTCTTCACCCCCCACCCCCGCCCGATGGTCACTGCTTCCCAAGGGAGTGTTCTGTTCATGGGTAGAGGCTGAGGCAGAGGGTTAGGGAAGCTGGTGGCCATTGGCCAAGACTCAGAGACTTGGCTGGTGGAGAAGTTTCCATCTTAACTCCAGGAGCTGGTCCAGGCCCTGCAGGCCCACGGCTGCATTTCGGGGACCCCTCTGGGGACCAGCCCATGGAGGGTGAGGTGGCCTGGGGCCTTCTGTGTTCTCTGTCCCTCCAGCCACCCCTCCAGTCAGAGCATCCTCACACACTGAGTGTTACTCCATCCCCCCCAATATGCTGGTCCTGAGCTCGCTGTGCCTCAGCTTTCCCATTTGTGATATGGTTCCATGTTTCTTCAGCACAGGGTTGCTGATGCCCAGCCAAGAAGCTCCTTGAAACCAGGCTCTGGATTCATCAAAATTATCCTCACCCTGAGCTGGAAGATGCTGAGGGCAGAGCGAGGCCTCAGCTCCTACTGAGAACACAGCTGAACACCCACTCCTGGCCGGGGGTCAGAGCAAGGGCCCCAGGGACCAGGGAAGGAGCCGGTCAGACTGGCCAGGATGGGGACCCATGAGGCCTGTGGGCGGCAGGAAGGAGCAGGCTGATTCCAGGAGAGGATGATGGAAAAAGCAGGGCCGCCAGCTGTCCCTGCAGGGCCATTTGCAGCCCCAGGTCACAGGTCGAAGGCCCTGTCCCTGGGGGTCCCAGGTCGGCAACGCAGGAAAGCCATCAGGCGGTGGGGGTGGGACTGGGGTTGGGGGACACCTGAGAGGTGGAGCCAGGGCTGAGAACCTTATGGGAGATCACAGACAACCCCCCCCACACACAAAAGCGACAATATCCACACACACACGTACAATAGATACACATGCTCACAGATTCATAAATATGCACATCAAAACACAGACACCCCCCCAAAGTCAGTCACACTCTGCATATGTGTATACCACCACACACACTCAGATGTGCACGGCAGCCCCAGATTTTAAGGCTCACAGGTGCCCCACAGCACACACCTCCCAGCACCCTGGCCCTCGCCACCCGCCAGCCTGGCCCTGCCTCCTTGCGTCCTTGGCCCAGGCTGCCCTAATCCTGGTCTCGTGTCCTGAAGCCAGAAGATAAGGGGCAGCTGCAGCCCCAGATAAAGGAGGCGAAAGCCGAAAGCCGCAAATCCGGGGCGGCCCGGCGGCAGCGGGCAAAGAGCCCAGGCCACACCTGCCCTGCGCTTCCTCCCCCATCCGACCAGCCGAGAGGGACAGACAGAGGGCGACGGTGGAGGGAGAGAGAGACAGAGCGGAGGCAGGGCAACCATGGGGGGCTGGCAACAACAGCAGAGAAATGGAGACAGATGAAGTGAAAGAGGAAGAGAGAGAGAGAAAGATGGAGAGCCAATATGTGGGGAAAAGAGCAAGGCAAAGGAAGGTAGACATACATGAGACAGACATACAGAGAGAAGGAAATACAGAAAGAGAAGCAAAAAAGGCTAAGCCAGAAACAGGAAGAATAAAAGGGACGGAGGCAGGGAGAGCCCCAGTGCCTGGGCAGAGTGCCAGCAGCACCTTCCCAGGCCCAGCTCCACCCCCTCCTGAGTGCCTCAGTCTCCCCACCTGCTTGGGGGCCCCAGGGTGACCTGCCGCTCTCCTGCTTCCTCAGATCAGCCAAGGTCAGGCATTTGTATGACTCAGGCCTAGTTCAGTGTTGCGGGGACATCTTTCTCGGTGTCCCCACACTCTCCAGGCTGGCACCTGGGAGGTCCTCAGCTCCTTGCCACAGCCTCAGTGAGGGTGGGACACCCCACCAGGCCCAGAGGAGGTATGCCCCCAGTGCCTCAGTTTCCCTAGCTATGACAAGATACATTCACTGAATAAGTGTTCAGGGAGCCCCTACTGTGTGCCAGGCCTGGTACATGCTGAAGACACAGAGGAGCCGAGGCAGAGCCGACTCCCACCAGTTCTGGACTTAGTTTACTGGGGGTGGGGGGGAAGATCCTCAATGCCTCCCTTTTCTAGAGATGATGACCCTGAGAACAGAAGAGTGAGTGAGGTGACCAAGGTGACTGGGTGCAGGAAACTGTTACTGGGAGAGAGAACCGCACATTTGAAGCCTGGGAGGTAAGATCAACTCACAGGACTTCTGGCATGACCTTGGTACTTGAGTTCAGGGAGTGAGCAGGTGAAGAGAGATGAAGCTAGAGAAGGCAGCAGGGGCTGGATTATGCAGAAACTTTGGGGTTATAGTCTAGGACTAGGGAAGTTGGGAGCCATGGCAGGATTGGGAGCAGGAGAGGGTCATGGTCAGATCTGGGTTTTAGAAAGAGCTGTGGAAAAAAGAAAGAAAGAAAGAGCTGTGGGAGGCTGGGCTATTGGGGGTAGGTTGGGAGATTGAGGCCTGGAAGGGGAGGTGCTGGGAAAGGGGACAGTCTAGAAAAAGACTCTGGAGAGAAAGCAGATTGGACATGGGGACTGGCAGTCTGTGGTGGGAGGAGAGGCTGATGCTCAGGTCTCTGGGTAGGCAATGGGGCAGCCCCTGGACCCGGGACCTCTGCAAGCCATTGATTCAGGTAGAGTTGGGATGAATGTCTGTTTCCTCCACACAAGGTCAGAGAGAGGAATAAGGAGCTAATACATGAAAAGAGCTTAGAACAGAGCCCAATATACAGTAAGTGCTCAATAATTGTGCAGCTACTGGTAAATGATTTGTACTATGCCATTAAAATAATGCAATATTATAACAAAATAATGATTAATAATGTGTCACTTATATTAATACCCGTATCATGGTTACTATGGATTCCCTGGCAGCTCAGCTGGTAAAGAATCTGCCTGCGATGCAGGAGACCCTGCTTCAATTCCTGGGTCAGGAAGATAGGGATAGGCTACCCATCCCAGTATTCTTGGGCTTCCCGAATGGATCAGACAGTAAAGAATTCACCTGCAATTCGGGAGACCCAGGTTTGATCCCTGGGTCAGGAAGATCCCCTGGAGAAGGAAATGGCAACCCACTCCAGTATTCTTGCCTGGAGAATCCCCATGAACAGGAGTACCTGGCAGGCTACAGTCCACGGGGTCACAAAGAGTTGGACATGACTGAGTGAGTGACTACGCAGAGCACAGCACATTGTTATTAATTGCCGGTCCACAATCTCCCTTTCTCTCCCTACAGGAAGACTTTCTGGATCGCCTTACACAGAGAAGGCTCGTTGTCACAGGGCAAAGCCAGAAAGCCCTAAGAAGGGTCTTCTTGAAGGCTGAGGCCCAGGGAGGGGAGTCCCATTCCTGAGGTCACCGTCTGTGGTCCTCAGTTCTCCACCTGAACAACTGTCTCCCCAGAGAGATCTGGATGCCTGTGGGATGATGTCTGGGGAGATGATGGTAGAACCTCAGAGGGCAATGGGGCGGGCACCTCAGGAAGAAGTGAATTCCTGTCCCTGGAAGTGGGTAAGTGGGACAGAGTCTCCCAAGGACTGCTGTGGTTTCTTCCAGTCTCTGATTCCAAGTTTTATTTCCAGTTTGACCTATAGAGGGCGGCAGAGGCCAGAGATGGAAGACAAGCTGCTCCCCGCCCCCATTGCATTTTCTCCCAGGTCTTAGAAAAGCTGGTGTTGAGCCTGTTGCAGCCTCAAGCAAATCCTTTCCCTCCTCTAGCCTCAGTTCGTCCCTCTGTCACTCAAGGAGTACAGTCTCTGTCTTATTTCCCTGCTCAAGGAAAGCTTTGTCAAGGTTAGCAGTAAAATGCACAGGTGGCCAAGGAATTGGTTATTGACATCCTGCACTGTGTTCACATAATTCAAGGCAAATAATAGTGATAAAGAAATAGCAACGTTGGATCCAAGTCAGGAAGGTCCCCTGGAGGAGGGCACGGCAACCCACTCCAGTATTCTTGCCTGGCAAATCCCATGGACAGAGGAGCCTGGCAGGCTACAGTCCATAGGGTCGCAAAGTGTTGGACACAACTGAAGTAGCACACAGTAGCAACAGTAGTATTCTTTAATGTTTATTGACTGCTATTTATTGAATCTATACTTCCTAAAACAGCTATTTCTACCAGCCCCATTTTTCTGATGAGGAGACTGAGGCACAAAGTTAAGGAAAATGTTGTTAAGTAGAAGTGCTGGGAGTCCAAACTGGCAGGCTGAGTCGACAGCCCAGAGGTGCCTGTGGGGCACCAAGGCTCTTCCAGGAACAGGGAGCTTTAGGAGAGTGCAACAGGGAATGGTGGGGACTGTGGAAAATGGGGACTAGATTCTGCTCTCCTTGGGCTGTTTGTTCTCCCACTTCCCTGGGATAAAATCCCCAAGTCCTCCCCAAAGCCTAGAGGGCCCTGCATGACCTTCACCTCCCTGTTCTCACCTCCTCCCTCTCTCTCCCTAGCTCACGCAGCTCCCATCACAGAGGGCTCACTGTCCAACACACCAGGCAGGGTCCTGCCTCAGGGCCTTTGTACTGGCTGTTCCCTCAACCTGGAGCACTTTTCCTTCTGATATTCCTGTCTCACTCATCTTTGCAAAAACACTCAATGTCCCCTCAGTGAAAAAGCTTTCCCTGACCATTCTATTAAGAACTGCAACCACCAGAAATGGCTTTCCCACTTCCTCTCCCCTGCTTCATTACCGTCCAATATACAGTATACCTTACTTATGTATTATGTTGATTATCTTCACCACTCTTATCTAAGCTCCTAAGCGTAACGATTTTTTTGGTCTGTTTTATTCACTGCTGTTTCGCCGGCTCTAGGATAGCATGTAACACATAGGCATTCAACGAGTTACTCGCTTAATGAACGCCCCATATAAAAGTAGCAGTGTTTTAAAATTCCATCAGGAAAACAAAATAGTTCTGTAAGCCGATTGTAGCCCGCGGGAAGGCAGTTTGAGAGCCCCAAGAGACTCATTGCACATTTCCGTTTCCCGCAAATGGATCAGAGGTAGAAAAGGGACCCGAGGCCCCACCCCTTCCTAGGTTCCGCCCCATTACGTCGACGCGCGTACAATTGCGTCACTTGGAGCGACCTGGGCATGCGCACTTCACCAGCAAGACCGGGGAAGACACACACGCGACCCGGAAGGCCTTTCCGCGGCACTCCAAAGCGGGCGTGAGGGGGGCCGATGGCGGAGGGAGCGGCAGAAGTCTCAGCACAGAGTGGTGGTGGTGGCGACCCAGGAGCCGTCGAGCCGGAACGGGGAGTGGCGCCCATCAAACCTCAGTGAGTTGCTGGGTCAGGCGCGGCCCGAGCAGTGCTTGCCGAGAGCTGGGGCAGCGTCCCAGCATTGGAAGCTCGCCGGCTCTTCTGTTTCGGCCTTCCGTCCGCTCGCAGGGTCAGCGAGCACCTGAGATCACGCACGTTGGGAACTGTCACATGCGAGAAGGACACCACGGTGCATGCTGGGGTGGGCGGGGTCTGGGGCGGAGGGGGTGGGGGTGGGGTGGCTGAAAGGCACGCTGGGAAATGTGGCAGCAGCGGACCCGTTGCAGAGCACGCTGGGACTTGTAGTTTCTTGTAGCCTAAGGTAGCCAGGGATGGTCACAGCTGATACTTGTACTTCAGTTCTCCAGTCTGGGCACTGGGGACCCAGGAACAAAATAGGTCCTCCCTGCGGCCTTGACGTGTTCCTAGGCTGGCAGCTGGCTGGTTCTAAGTAGGAACTACCCCATAAACAGAGGCATGTAAACAGGAGCAAGTGTTCTTAGCCCCTTTCCCTAGCGTTCATGAATCTGAGCTCAAGGCAGGATACTTCTTTCACAAGCCCTCCTTTCTCCTGCCTCTCTGCTGGCAGATACCTCACCACCAAGGAGCAGTTCCACGAATTTCTGGAAGCCAAAGGGCAGGAGAAGCCCAGCCAGGAATCCGAGGCTGTAGACCCTGCTGGCAATGACCTGACTGAGCCTGAGGCCAAGCGGATCCGACTGGAGGACGGGCAGACAGAGGACGAGCAGGCAGAGGAGGCAGCTGAAACTGGGGAGCAGCTTCAGGCTCAGAAGAGGGCCCGGGGCCAGAACAAGTGCCGGCCTCACGTGAAGCCCACCCACTATGATAAGAACAAGCTCTGTCCCTCTCTGGTCCAGGTGTGCGTCACTGTCACCGAAAGTCCCAGATGCCTTGAGTGTGAGCCTGTCTGCCCCCCCAGTTCAATCTTCTTGACGTTATGGTGTATCGTTATTGTTCCCATCTTCCAGGTGAAGAAACTGAGGCTTGGTGAGGTTTCTGACTTATCTGAGGACACACAGCCAGGAGGGGAGGGATCTGAGTTTCAGACCTAGGCTGCCTGACTGGCTTTGTCAGCGTCTCTCTGTCCTCCCTTATTGCCTCCCTGTTTCCTTGCAGGAATCAGCTGCTAGGTGTTTCTATGGTGACCGCTGCCGCTTCCTGCATGACGTGGGCCACTACCTGGAGACCAAGCCTGCTGACCTTGGCCCCAGCTGTGTGCTCTTCGAGACCTTCGGCAGGTGTCCCTATGGTGTAACCTGCCGCTTTGCCGGGGCCCATCTGGGGCCCGAGGGCCAGAATCTGGTGAGGGAGGGGTTGGTCCAGGCGCCGCCCGTCCGCAACGGCCTGGACAAGGCCCTGCAGCAGCAGCTGCGAAAAAGGAAGATCCACTTCAAGCGTGCAGAGCAGGCTCTGCGCCAGCTGAGCAGGGGCCCGCTGCCAGGCCCCACCTCCGAAGCCACTGTCCCTGAGGGCAGGGAGGCCGAGGGTGCCCCAGGGCAGGATAACTGTGACATCCAGCTGGCCCCCCAGGAACCGGACACCGTTGGCCCTCCCAGTGGCCCTTTAAGGACCTGCGGACCCCTGACAGATGAGGATGTAGTCAGGTTGAGGCCCCATGAGAAGCGGCGGGTATGTGTCGTGGGCCCCCTCTGAGGACACACTAGCAGTTCCGGGAGCGGACAGAGCTGGACACTCACTCCCAGCTCCAGAGGGTCCAGGCTGTAACAGGGGGGCAGTGGAAAAGGCTTCCTAGAAGGGAGGGCGCTGGGACTGGGGCTTCGATGGTTGAGTAGAAGCTCTCTAGCAGAGAAAAGAATGGAGAAAGGAACTTTCCTCATGGAGGGATTAGGTGGCCTGTGCAGAGGCATGGAGGTGAAAAGGAGCCAGACTCACTGGGGCAGGACAAAGCCTATGGGAAGGCTTGAGGCTTGAGAGGCCTCGAAAGCCAGATTCGTGGGTGGAGATTCAATGTGCTTTTTTTCCCTTTCAGCTGGACATCAGTGGCAAGCTGTACCTGGCCCCACTCACCACGGTAGGACCCACAGCGGGGTGGGCAGGTGCTGGCAATGGGCTCATCACAGCAGTACCCACTGGTCCCCCTTCCCTGGGGGCTTGGGTGTGTGTCTGGGTTCCTAGCCTACCATGCCCTTATGTGTGCATTCCACTGTTCCCAGTGTGGCAACCTGCCCTTCCGCCGGATCTGTAAGCGCTTCGGGGCAGATGTGACCTGCGGGGAGATGGCTGTGTGCACTAACCTGCTACAGGGCCAGACGTCCGAGTGGGCCCTGCTCAAACGCCACCCCTGCGAGGATATCTTTGGCGTCCAGGTTGGTGCCGCCCCGAGGAAGGGAAGGAGGAGGGACTCTTGGCTGTTAACCTGTCAGAGCCAGGTGCAGGGTCAGGCTCTCCCGGATCACCTCCCAGACCCCCCGCCTCAGCTACTGGTCACGTGCCAGCCTGACGCACCTGGAGGAGCTGATAGCCTCGGCACGGGGCCAGGCAGGACGGCCCCTCACCCCCTGCCCACCCACCCGGCCATAGCTTGAAGGCGCCTTTCCTGACACCATGACCAAATGTGCCGAGCTGCTGAACCGCACCATCGAGGTGGATTTCGTGGACATCAATGTCGGCTGCCCCATTGATCTCGTGTTCAAGAAGGTACCCAATGTTCAGAGTGGGTGAGGGTGGAGCCCCTAGGAATCTGTGGGGGCCTCTGGGCCTTGCTTTCTGCATCTGGACAAGGAAGACAGTGGTGGGGTGGGAGCTGGCATCAGGTCCAGCCTGGGTCCTGCCTTCCTGATCTCCAGCCGCCTGTCTCTCCCAGGGCGGGGGCTGTGCCCTCATGAACCGCTTGGCCAAGTTCCAGCAGATCGTCCGCGGCATGAACCAGGTACTGCCCAAGATGACCGTCCACAGCCTTCACTGCCCAACCCGAGGCCCTGCTGCAGATCACCCCTGTTCCCACAGGTGCTGGACGTGCCGCTGACCGTGAAGCTGCGCACGGGTGTCCAGGAGCGTGTGAATCTGGCCCACCGACTGCTGCCCGATCTGCGGGCCTGGGGGGCGGCTCTGGTCACGGTGGGTCTCGGGGGGCGGCGGGCGGCGGGGCCGCAAGGCACTTCCCTTTCTAACCATCCCTCCCTCCCATCTCCTCTCTCCTGGTCTCTGGCTCGCCCTCCATCTCTTGTCTCTGTCTGTCCATCTCTCTGTCTCTCTCTCTCAGTCCGTCTCTGCCGGGCTCTCTGGGTCTCTCTCTCTCTCTCTCTCTCTCTCTGATCCTCCACTTCCCCGGCCCCTCCGTCCCTCCCCACGCGGCCGCCTCTCCTCCAGCTCCACGGCCGCTCACGGGAGCAGCGCTACACCAAGTTGGCCGACTGGCAGTACATCGAGCAGTGCGTGGCGGCGGCCCACCCCAACTCTCTCTCTCTCTCTCTCTCTGATCCTCCACTTCCCCGGCCCCTCCGTCCCTCCCCACGCGGCCGCCTCTCCTCCAGCTCCACGGCCGCTCACGAGAGCAGCGCTACACCAAGTTGGCCGACTGGCAGTACATCGAGCAGTGCGTGGCGGCGGCCCACCCCATGCCCCTTTTCGGTGGGTGCCCACAGGCCACACACCCAGGCCCACCCCTCGCCTGGGCCCCTCCCTTCCCCAATGGGGGGCTCCCGGGCTGGCGAGAACTCCTCATGCCCTGGCACCGCCGCCCAACGTGGCTCCCTGAGACCCTGGCCTCTGTCCTTCAGGGAATGGAGACGTCTTGTCCTACGAGGATGCCAACCGAGCCCTGCAGACCGGTGTTGCAGGGGTCATGATCGCGCGGTGCGTGGGCCTCGGGGCTGCAGCTGTGGCCTTAGAGCCATAGCTTGGAACTCTCAGACTTTTTTTTTAATTTGGCTGTGTCAGGTCTTAGTTGCAGCATGTGGGAACTTTGATCTTTATTATGGGATGTGGAATTTTTAGTTGGGGCATGTGGGGTGTAGTTTCCTGACTAGGGATGAAACCCAGATCCCCTGCATTGGGAGCATGGAGTCTTAGCCACTGGACCAGCAGCGAAGTCCCAGAATTCTCTGGCTTTGAGAGTCATGTGAGCGTATGGCTGGGAGGCTGGGGACCGTGGTTTTGGGGGCCGGGGTTTCCCCACCGGCCCACTGACTGTCGCCCACTGCCCACCCCCAGTGGCGCCCTGCTCAAGCCGTGGCTGTTCACGGAGATCAAGGAGCAGAGGCACTGGGACATCTCATCGTCCGAGCGCCTGGACATCCTGCGGGACTTCACGCACTACGGCCTGGAGCACTGGGGCTCAGACACGCAGGGTGTGGAGAAGACGCGCCGCTTCCTCCTCGAGTGGCTCTCCTTCCTGTGCAGGTGGGATGGGGCGGCGGGGCAGCGGGGCAGGCCGGGCACAGTGTGTGGGGAGCCCCAGCCCAGCCCCTTTCCCACTGCCCCCGCCCACAGGTATGTGCCCGTGGGCCTGCTGGAGCGGCTCCCACAGCGGATCAACGAGCGGCCACCCTACTACCTGGGCCGCGACTACCTGGAGACGCTCATGGCCAGCCAGAAGGCAGCCGACTGGATTCGCATCAGGTGCCCGGGAGCTGAGGCCCTGGGGGACAGGAGGATCGAGGGCTTGGTGGGTCCGGGGTGAGCTGGATTGGGGGCCGCCCCGCTGCCAGGCCTGACCCCGGCCACCTGCCTCCCTCCCCACAGTGAGATGCTGCTGGGACCTGTCCCGCCCAACTTCGTCTTCCTGCCCAAGCACAAGGCCAATGCCTACAAGTAGCCACAGGGGCAGGAGGGGCATCTGAGTATCCAGAGGGCCCCCTAAAGCGTGAGAAGACAATAAATTTTATTCTTCTAAAACCCAAGCCTTTCTGTGACCCTGAGGCTGCCCTTGGCCCCCTGCCATCCCCACCCCCACATCCCCCTCATCCCTTCACTCATTCACCAGCCCTGTGCTGGCCACTGCTGGTGCCCAAAAGGCCTTGACAACAAAGAAGCCATCAGAGCCCATGAGATGGGGCCTCGGCCTACCTGAGTGTGGATCAGGGTGGGCTGCCTGGAGGAAGGGGCCTCAGAGCTGACTGGCAAGCCATGCTGGCAGAGGCGGAAGGCAGCAGACTGCACCCGAGGTCCACCATACCCTCTGTGATGCCCATCTCTGGTTCCCTTGGTTTCTTGGTCCACCCCTGCCCACTCCCCACTCCACCATTACCCGGAACCCCGACCAGTGGGCGGGCCGCAGCCTGGAACCCGCTGCCCGGAGTAACCAGACAAACAGAACTCCACAGGACTCTGAGCCTGTACTCTGGGTGGGCCACCTGTGCTCCCCACCTGCTGCCCTCCTGGCCCGCCTGGGCCGGGCCCCCGCCTCCCTATGCAGCATCCCAAGCCCTTCTACGCACACACAGCTCCCCAAGAAGGCTTCGGTCCCCAGGGCCTGGATGCCACTGATGGGCTGGGCAGCCAGCCCACTCCCGCCTGCACAGAGCTGTCCGCTGTGGGTATGAGTCGGTGGGGTGGGGTGCGGCCATGGGGGCAGGGACCGGGGCTCTGTTCGCCAGCCCCAGGACCCCACCCACCTGCCTGCTTTTGTCCACAGGTTCCTCCAACCTGTACCACCCCCCAACCCCGGAGAAGGAGGTGTTCCCAACCCCTCCAGCAGGTACTGGCCTCCCGCCAACCCTTGAGGACTGGGCAGTGGGCGGGGCCATCTCGTCCCCACCCCTAACCCTAGATGGCTTCCGACTCCAAAGCAAGGCCAGTGTCCCTCATCCCCTCGATGGGGCTCTGACAGTAAGGCAGCCCCATGACTCTTGTCCCCCTGTCAGGTTCCCCAAAGCCAGGTCTGTGTCTCCAGCCACCCCCGACCCCGATGAGCCCCCAAAGCACGTCCTGGTCCCCAGACCGGTAGCTAAACCCCCAGAGGCAAAGCCTATGTCCTCGTCCCCTAAATGGACCCCAGGGATGGTCCGTGTCCTGTGTCCCCCTGATGTATCCCCCAGGCGGGTCCCAGCACCGCCCCTCTGAGGGCCACCCTCCTGGCCATAGGTTTCCAGATGGCACCCTGTGGGTGCTTCTTTGACCCCCGCATGTACCGAATCGAGTGGGCCGCCACCGACTTTGGCCAGTCGTCCCTGTACAGGCTGGTGGCCGTGGGCGATGTGGGGCCAGCTGGGGCCCCCACCTCACCAGGCACTTACCTCCTGGAGCCCCAGCACTACCTCAAGGCCCCGGTGCCGCCCCCACCGCCCCCACCATACCCCCACTACCAGCCACCGCCCCCGGGGGGCCCCCAGTACCTCCTGCCGTACTTCCCGCCTGAGGGGCTGGGGCCCGAGACCGTGGGCTTCATGGGGGTTGGGGGGCCGCCCGCCTTCATGGAGCTGCCCCTGCCCTTGATCAAGGAGGGCCTGGCACCCCCACCGCCCCCCAAGGAGAGCAAGCTGCCCTCGCTGCTCATCACGCTGCCCACCGAGGCCACACTGCCCCCGGGCACCTACAGCCACCTCAAGGGCCGCCTGAGCCAACTGCAAGGGCCTGGGGAGCCCTTGACCTTCCCAGTCAAGGAGCCACCCCCCGGCCCGCTGTACCCACCGGGCCTTGCCGAACCCAAGGCAGCTGATGCCGAGGTGGCCCCACTAGGGGCAGGCGAGGCCAGAACCCCCGAGGTGGCCCGGGCCTTTGCGCTGCCCGAGAAGGTGCTGCTGGAGGATGCGATGAAGCTCTTCGACTGCCTGCCGGGCGGTACTGAGCCCGAAGGGGCTCCTCGCAAGCCCCTGGGCCCTGGGCCAGACCTGCCCAACGGTGGGGGCGGCGGCGACGACTCCTCCTCCAGTGACATCCGCTCGCTGCACCTGCCCGACGAGCTGCTGTCCTTCGACTACAGTGTGCCTGAGATCCTGGACACTGTCTCCAACGTGGACTACTTCTTCAACTTTAAGGCACTGGATGAGGAGCCACTGCCCCGTCCAGGGCCCCCCGCCGCCAATACCACAGCCTGTGCCCCCCGGGCTGAGCCCCCTGGCAAAAGGAAGGCTGGCAGTTCCACCACCAAGAAGGGGCGGCAGGGCAGCAAGGGCAAGCAGGCCACAGGTCCTACGAGTGCTGCCTCCTCAGGGCCCCGGCAGGACCTGGGGGCCACCCCCCATTAAAGCAGATTTGATCTCTCAGTGCTGTGTCCGCCTAGTAGTGTCAGGGCGTCCCCATGCCCTCGCTGTTGTACAGTGGGCCCCAGGCCACAGGGTGAGGCTCTGCAGGACCCCGAGGGTGCTGGACTTATGGAGCAGAGTGGGGGAGCCCTAGATTCGGATTTGGGATTCTAAATCTATCCAGAGAGAATCCAAGTCAGCCGGCACTTTGGAGAGGTGGGAACTGCCTGACTCCTACACTGCAAGAATTTCACTTCTGTTTGACCGGGAAAATCAGGGCTGCCCAGAGATGAGTAGCGACTGGCCTGGAGACACACAGCAAATGCGGGAGTTGGGGAGTGGCGACTGGCCTGGAGACACACAGCAAATGCGGGAGTTGGGGAGTGGCCTGCCTATCCCCGACCATCCCTCTGAAGCCACTACTGGTGGGAGGGGGGGAGGCCTTAGAGAGGCCTGCAGGCTGGGCTCAGCCTCCACCCGCCTGGCAGGGCAGGTGTTGTCGCCAATGGTGAAGGGGCGGGCCTCCACCCATGTTCATGCAGAGAGCTGGGGTGTGGAGGCAGGTGCTGGTTGGAGGTGGAGACACCTGAGGTCTGAGGGTGGGGCCTGGGAAGGGATGTGTGAGATGTTGCCCGCCTGGTACATGGGTAGTCGAGAACAGGCCCGCATGTGATGGGGCGTGCAGAGTGCAACTGCAGCCCAGGTGAAGCCCGAGGCCCGGGTGGGCATGCCTATCCCAAGATGGGCAGGGGGCCACGTCCCCTCATTGGACCCAGCCACGCGTGGCAGGCACGGGGAGCCTGGGATTTCAGTTCTCACCCCTGTTCCCTCCTGCCTGGGCTCCTCCCACTGCATCCACATGGCTCCCACCCCTGTGGGTCCCAGGCCAGGCTCTCTTCAGCCCTTTCCACTGGAGAGTCTGGAGCAGCTGCTGTTCATACCCTCCCCTGAAATACTCAAGATGACCCTGAAGGGGGTGACGTGCAAGGAGGTAAGGTGAGTTGGGGGCTTCCCTGGTGGCTCAGTGGTCACGAGTCTACCTGTCAATGCAGGAAACAAGCATTTGACCCTGGGTCAGCAAGATCCCCTGGAGACGGAAATGGCAACCCATTCCTGTATTCTTGTCTGGAGAATCCCATGGACACAGGAGGGTGGCGGGCTACAGTCCATGGGGTTCCAAAAGAGTCAGACACGACTTAGCAAGAAAACAACAAACAAGGAGAGATGGAGCTCACCTCTGGAGTGGGCCAGCCCCACCTGCTTCCCTCACCTGCAGGAGTAAGGGCCCTCTTGCCCCAGATTCAGGGCTGGGTCTCAGGGGCTTTCACTCTTGGACTCTGCTGGGAACCTGGGGGGCTTGACTGGGGTCCAGGAGATGTTGGGTGTGGGTGGGGGATCCCATGTGCTGGCACCACACCTCGAGCCTACAGGGCTTGTCTCCCTGAATCCTGTTCCAAGGCTCAGGGAGGCGGGGGCAGCCCCAAGTCTGCACCTGCACTTACCTGACTCTTCTCTGAATGGGACATGGACCTCGAGAAGCCAGGAGCTCACTGCCCTCACCTCCCTTGGAGCCCTCCCTGCAGCCACGTTAATGGGTGTTTTTGAGACATATGAAATGCCCCCAGTGACGGGGAGCCCCTGGCAAGCAAGGTGGATGTGAGGGGAGGCGCTTGCTTTTCTGTAAGATTAATGTGGACTGAGGATTGTGAAACATGGCATCCCATCTCGTGACCCCCCCATCAGGCCTGGTGGGTGGATGGGGCAGAGCAACTCAGCCCCCGATGGTGGAACAAAATGACTGGCTTGAACCTGGGCCCATGTCAGTGAAAATGCCAAGTCCTAACCACTGGACTGCAAGGGAAGCCCCTGTATTAGGCCATTTAAATGACCATGGCGTGGAGGGGGTACTTTCCTGGGGGTCCAGTGGTTAAGACTAAGCTTCCACTGCAGGGGGCTTAGGTTTGATCCCTGGTCGGGCTTCCCTGGTAGGTCAGCTGGTAAAGAATGCGCCTGCGATGCAGGAGACCGCGGTTCAATTCCTGGGTCAGGAAGATCCCCTGGAGAAGGGATAGGCTGCCCAGTATTCATGGGTTTCCCTGGTGGTTCAGGCAGTAAAGAATCTGCCTGCAATGCGGGAGACCTGGAGTCGATCCCTGGGTTGAGAAGATCCCCTGGAGGAGGGCATGGCAACCCACTCCAGTATTCTTGCCTGGAGAATCCCATGGACAGAGGGGCCTGGCGGGCTACAGTCTATGGGGTGGCAAAGAGTCGGCCACGACTGAGCGACTAAGCATAGCACACACCACGGGGAACTGTTAGTTTAAGATCCCACATGCCTCCAGCCATGGCCAAAAACAAACAGAGCAAGTAAATGACCACGGGATGTGTTCTGTTAACCTAAGAGTGATCAGAAAAGTTACGGAGAAATTTTCACTAGAATGAGACGGTGTCCCGCACCACCTGGAATTTGAAGGATGTGTGGGAGAGGGAAGCCCGCTGAACACAGGGACAGACTGATCCAACATACATATCCATCTATGTGTACATTGCATACACACGTGTATACATACCTATCTATGTATTCACATGTATATTTATATATCTGCATGTGTACTTGTGTGCTTGTAGACAGGCGTGCATGTTACTTATGTGTATGCACACATTTACCCATAAATGTATGTGTGCAGTTGTATGCACATTATACATATACACTTGTGTGGCATATCACCCACATATACATGCACATGTTTACATGAATGTGTATCATAGACATGTACACACATGTATGTCAATTGCAGATATACACGTGTGCAATATCCACACAAATACCCACACATATCAACACATATACAATATGCATACACACACATGCACATTATCTACACATATGTATGGGTATGCCTCACCCATGCTATATACGTTTGTACATCTCTGTATATATATATATATATGCACACCATCTGTATCTATGTGTATGCCTAACACATGTACATATAAAATATGTACTATGCTTACAAATCTAGTTCACGGACATCCCACAAGTCTACATGTGTTCATTTGAATGTACATCAGGGCTTATCAGCAGAGATGGACCCACACCCCCTTCCTCAGGTCCCATCCTTCTCTAACAGAACTTGTCCTGTGTCTGATATATCTCAGGGGCTTGCAGGTGAGCACACTACGTGCAGGCATCCCATCTCGTGACCCCCCCATCAGGCCTGGTGGGTGGATGGGGCAGAGCAACTCAGCCCCCGATGGTGGAACAAAATGACTGGCTTGAACCTGGGCCCATGTCAGTGAAAATGCCAAGTCCTAACCACTGGACTGCAAGGGAAGCCCCTGTATTAGGCCATTTAAATGACCATGGCGTGGAGGGGGTACTTTCCTGGGGGTCCAGTGGTTAAGACTAAGCTTCCACTGCAGGGGGCTTAGGTTTGATCCCTGGTCGGGCTTCCCTGGTAGGTCAGCTGGTAAAGAATGCGCCTGCGATGCAGGAGACCGCGGTTCAATTCCTGGGTCAGGAAGATCCCCTGGAGAAGGGATAGGCTGCCCAGTATTCATGGGTTTCCCTGGTGGTTCAGGCAGTAAAGAATCTGCCTGCAATGCGGGAGACCTGGAGTCGATCCCTGGGTTGAGAAGATCCCCTGGAGGAGGGCATGGCAACCCACTCCAGTATTCTTGCCTGGAGAATCCCATGGACAGAGGGGCCTGGCGGGCTACAGTCTATGGGGTGGCAAAGAGTCGGCCACGACTGAGCGACTAAGCATAGCACACACCACGGGGAACTGTTAGTTTAAGATCCCACATGCCTCCAGCCACGGCCAAAAACAAACAGAGCAAGTAAATGACCACGGGATGTGTTCTGTTAACCTAAGAGTGATCAGAAAAGTTACGGAGAAATTTTC